AAAAAAAAAAAAAAAAAAAAAAAAAAAAAAAAAAAAAAACTTCCATTCTCTTCAAGAAGGTAGGTGGGGCTCCACATAGTAGCAGATCTCTTAAAATATTCAATAGTAAGGTAATGTGTCTATGATGAGGCAGTGGATATCCCCCTCAGAGATCTATATCTTAAGACACAAAGCTTAAAATCTCAAATGAATCTCTCAACTGATAGGATTTCAGGGAAAACAATGTAAAAGTGAAAAAAAAAATCAGGCTGTAGATACATGTTGGAAGACAGGGTTAACTTTCTAGACAGTTCATACCGAATGTGTACACAGCTCTTTTGGGTCATTTCTATTTCCCATGGCGTTCTCCCTTATTTAATGCCTAACCCAAAAATTTCCTGCAACACCAATGTTATGGAGATCCCTCCTCACCCACCTACCCAATAAGAGACGAGAGTTTGGGGAGGGCAGGGGATACCGAACCATAGAAAAAACAACACACCATGGTGTAGTGTCTGAAGTAGAGGCTTACTTTAAACTTAATACTGGTATATTACTGTTCATAATAATACATTGCTAAATCATAATGTTATAAAAATATGAAATCTTATAAGAAACTCTGAATGGATTATAACTTAAGAATTATCTTAAGTAAACAAACTACAAAAAAACTGTAGCTGTTGGCTAAGTTCTATCAATTGTTCTTAATTCTCTTTGGGTTTTTCTCCTGGTCTTCTGTTATCCCTTCTGCAGGTCGCTTCTTCAACCCCTTCATTTTTCTGGTTTGTAATTTGCTTAGGTCTTGCTTCTGCATATGAATCCTTCCATAGGTTGTACCAAAAGTATCATGGGAGATATTTTTCTTCTTCTTTGGCTATGAAACAAGAAAAAAAAAAAGGAAAAAAACATATATATATATATTTAATGGGCTTCTGCTATCATGAACTGGTATAAATCTAGTCTAAAACAACTACCGTAGTAACAATTTCCATTAGTGAGCACCCCCTCAATGCAACAGAGCATACATACCCCTATACACCTATCTTCTCAAACTTAAGTATACATACAAACCACCTGGGGATCTTGTTAAAATTCATATTCTGGCCTGGTGGGTTAATTCAGAGGGTTAGAACATGGTGTTATAACACCAAGGTCAAGAGTTCAGATCCCCGTACTGGCCAGCTGACCCCAAAAATAAATAAAATAAAATAAAATTCAGATTCTAATTTAGCACATCTAGGGTGGGACCTGATACTCTGTGTTTCTAACAATTCCCACATAAATTGTCAGACCACACTTTGAGACACAAGACTATAGATTACACTAACCATTGTCATGCATCAAGAGAATTTCTGGTGTTTAGCTTAAAAAATTGTGACTCTCATTTCAATTTCTACAGGCATTCCAAAGATCACAATTCTACTTGTTTTTTAAAACCACTTGAAAGTCAAAACACATTTTATGCATGTATGATTTACATACCCTGTGCTCTAAATCCCCAGTCTTCACGAAGCCCAAAATGATTCTCCTTTTTGCTGAAAATGGCAGTCTTGGCTACCAGAAAGCTCTCAGCCAAACTTGATGCCTGGTTACTGCAACTCTTTTTATTGTCCTTTATGGTTACCTTATTTAGTTTTCCTTCCTTTTCTTGACTCTGAGGTCTAGTTTGATCTATTTTATTGATCTCTTTATGTATGTCCTTTAAAATGAGTATATGTTGCAAATCCTTTTTGAAAAGAAGAGTATACTATATACATAAACATGGCACCAATGTACCTTGAGGGCTTTTGGCATTTTCATAGATAATTTATAAAGGTCATCTGATGCCAGGTGTGTCCTCCTCAGAACCAGATCCAACGAGGGTCCCATCTCTTCCAATTCAATCCGTGGTGTTCTGCAACCAGACTTCTTCAACAGCAACCTTGACAAAATAGGAAAAAAGAAATGCTGTTTTGACCTTTATAAAAGTCCTTACCCCAAAATATCCTTGTTCTAGGGAAAAAATTACATAAAAATGTTTAGAAAGGCTAAGCTTCTGAAATACTTTATACATTCAGGGCAAGTGTATCTGTTGGTTCACTTATTTTTAAATATCATAAATAAAATTATATAATATTATTGATAAACAGCAAATAAGATGGAAAATTCTTCTCAGAAAATAAATGAAATCCTTTGATTTGACTTGTTCATCTCACTTATAGATTTATATAAGTATAAAAACAGTTTAAAATGGGTATTTGAAACAGTACGTTTACATGATTAACAAGTTCTTATCTCTCTAAAACTGCAAGAGTTAAATCAACCCATTCAGAATCAACTTTTCCCTAATAGCACAGACATTTACTGATCTCTGTAGACTGAAGTGAACTTAAACATCCTAATATAACAAAACCACAACTTTCTGAATACCCTATGTCCAAACAGCTCCAGACATGGAAACATTTGCAAGGCTGGGAAGAGTAGGGGGAATAGCACAGACATTTACTGATCTCTGTAGACTGAAGTGAACTTAAACATCCTAATATAACAAAACCACAACTTTCTGGATACCCTATGTCCAAACAGCTCCAGACATGGAAACATTTGCAAGGCTGGGAAGAGTAGGGGGATTGGTGGAGTGGGGAGAAGGGAAGACTCGCAAATTCTTTTTGTAAGAGACACCATGAGAACAGCTGAAAACCCTGGAGATTATACTCAGTTTGTTATAGTAGCCAGGTCTCCACAGAGGAAAAAAAGGGTTGATTGAATGATAATGTTTTCATACAAAAGCTGGAGTATGAGAAAGGCAACAGGTGACATCAGAGAAGAGAAAAAACAGAAGAGGAGAGCACAGTTAAGGAATACCCAAGAGAGCAGCAAACATCAGGAAGCAGAAGTGAGTGTGCAGAAGTTCAACAACCTTTTGAGCCCTAAGTGCATCACATGCAGACAGACAACCAAGACAGTCCCCACAAGGAAATAAATTGCCACTTTTCATCCTTCTTATAGTACCTAGAAGCCAAGAGGTTCACTTCAGAATCTGAAATACACTGAGCTTTCTTTTATAAAATGAATATTATATTCTTCATGCTAATGGGTTTGCTTTTCTTTAAAGATAAATTCAAATTATTATTATGGTAATCCTTTAAAAATAACCTGTTTGCTCTTTCTCATAAAGGAAATGTATGAATAGAGAATTTATAAATGATTTTGGGGATCACATTAGCAAGATGAAGAGGCTATTAGACATTGAGTCATAAAAAAACAGCCAAAATCCTTTCATCCTCATCCCATCATACACACCACTGTACTTTTTTTCTACAGATAGACATTTCAATGCCAGGCCTTTGTATATCCAGCCTTTGCATCTACTGCCCAGAACTTTACATCATATACCTAATATCCATCTCAGATCCTAACCTGTTTTTTTTTTTTTTTTCCTCTCTCTACAAGTTATAAATCAAAAGTAACATTCAGTTCTGCAATTCTGTATGGTACAAGATTCAGGGACACAAAGACAAACAGAATCCAGTTCCTTTCTCTCTCAGATGAGCTCAGGTAGGTATGCTAATTGGTAATTTCTATATATTTTTAAATATTATTTGTCTATTTCTTGAGAAAGACTGACATTACTACTCTTGTTCAAATTATAATTTCCTGATTTTTCTCTGGCCCATATTCCTCTTTGGCTGACATTCTGTTTTCAGTAAGTAAACTCCTTGAATGAAACACTGTGTTTGCTTTTTAAGGTATGCCAACACTTCCTGTTTTGCATATCTCTCTCCATAAAACCTAACCAATGAAGTAGCAAAGGCATATGTGGTAGATACTAAATATTTTGTTTCATATTAATGGCTCTGATCATATAGTGAACAAAATTTTCCAAGGAATACAAATGGTCACTCACATATGAGGAATTAATTACTATAGGATACACAGGAAGAGGTCAATAACACTGTGGTTTATTCCCCCAGAAGTCATGTCAAAAGTTATATTATTATAATTTCATGATCAGAGTTCCTTTCATCCAAAAAACTCGAAATCCTTTTATAAGCCTTATTAATCTTCAAAAATGTGTGTGGATATTAACTGTTATTTTTGCAAATTGCTTAAGGACTAATTTGCAGTAAGAGAGAAGCAAGTACACTGCAGGGCAGCCCAAGAGAATGCCCGAGGAGCCAAGTCAAGTCAGACCCATTTCTCTAGCATCTTCCCACCTATATCTGCAACCCATTCCCCCTCATATAAAAGAAAATTGTCAATCTCTGAAGGACTTCAGAATTACCTAAATTTTGTAGAGGAAGACACAGAAGCCCTGAGAAGTGACCTGTTCATCTCATGTGGCTGAGCCCGGCACAGAGGCAGATCACTAGTCTCAGAGGTGATGCTCATCCCTAGGACCACCCCTTCCTCCCACCCTCCCACCACCCAAGCATGGCACAGTCCCTAGAGTCTAAACTGATTCACGTGTTTAGTAATTCTTTCCCGCTGGTGCTGTCAATCACACTGCTCGTTTTCTATTTCAAATCAATTAGCTAACAGGACATGTATGGAACACCTGTGCTTTAAATTTCATACTAGCATCTCTAATTTTTAAAATTCAAACTTTTTTTTTCATTATAAAAGATGTCACGCTAATCTAAAGGTGATTCCAGCAATCATATTCTTCAAGATACATGTAGTTACAATTCTAATTTATCCTTGTTCTAAAGTCTGATTTGACAATTTTCTGTTTTATTGTCTCTGCATTTTTCTTTACAAATTAATCTTTCTTTTCACTAAATACAAGTTCTAATACAAATTAATACTTTCTGTAAAACTGTTCACCATGAAAAAGTTTTAGGCTACTATTATTCATTTCTTACTCTCAAAGATTTTTATCTTTGTATTTTAATTCTTTGTGTCCACATTTGCCAAATTTAAGTTTTTGAAAGGAATTTTTTTATGTTAGTGATTTTTTACCTTTTATTTCTTGTTCTCTAAATAGCAGTCATCTACTCGATAGTATAATACATTCTTGAAAGCCCAAAACTTAAGTGTGGAAGTTTAAACAACAGACTAAAGAAGCTTTTAATCTTAACTAGCTAAAAATGATTACAAAACCCCTAATTTCATCTTGCAGTCACTGGATATTTTATTGCATTTTGCAGTATTTTATTTTTAATAAGAGGAAAATTAAAAAACAGAAGTGGTGGTACTAATCATATGGTAAAAAGAACTAAGTAAGTATCTCTGACTCAATACAGTTGAGACCAAGATGGAAATTACTAATTGACAAAAGAGGTGAATATTTAGTTTTATTTGGATGCTCATCGGACCTAAACTGGTCAATCACATATTCCATTGTAAAGGAAAAAAATTTAAAACCATGTATGGAATGCTGGATGTAAGTGATTGCTCACACAATACTACTGTTCAGAAGACAATGTCAATACCCAGCTGCCAGTGCACAGGATAAAATGCCATGCCATAGCTCAAAATGTACATCAAAGCCTGAACTCAGTACAAAGAAAGGCAGTTGGTGTGAGTCAATGTATTCTCCAGGAAACTGTGATTTTTACCAGACAGTGCCAACACTTTATTTTAAAAAAGACAAAAGTCATGCTTACCTCAAAAGGCATAATTATAGCATGTCATTAAGCTCTTAATAAAGACAGAATCTGCTTGTTAGTATTTATATTTATATTGTAGTAGGGGTAGAGATAGAAGGCCTAGGCTGTAGAAAGAGGGTAAAATGAATCTAGCCTTTGAATCTTCTTATTCCTTTTAGAATCCATTTTTTAGATTTAGGGTTTTGAGATTTGCTTTGGCTGGCCTAAAACTTGTGGCTTGGTGCTCTGAATACAGTCAAGAACAGTAAGAAATACTTTATAAAGCTGGGAGGCTAAAGATTGAGTTAGTGTTCCAGGCTCAGAGAGAGTATAGCATTAAATGTTCCTGGAAGCATAGGGCTGCAGAAAGACAGGTTAGTAGTGGAATGACAGATTGAGTATCAGCACAGAGCTGCTGTCACTGCTGTTCTGCAAACTGGCCAAGCTTTTGGCCAGACACCAATTCTAAGTTTGAGGTCTATAAAACAGTCACACTAAAACGCTAACCCTGAGGTTTGAAAAAAAAAAACAAACATGCTAAGAAATGCACTTACTTATAACTTCGAAAGTAAATCTTCCCATTAAGTGCAGTGAAGTGTAGAACATAGTCTAATCCAGCCAGTCGGACATTTGATACTGTGGGGCCTCTGAAGAAATCTAAAAGCACATATTAAGTTGTTATTAAAAAAAAAAAATAATCAACACACTTTTAAAGTTCAGTTACAAAGCGCTATATTCTACGTGCTCCATTTTGCTCTAATGTTCGTCTACAAAGATAAGATAGGTAGCACAAAAAGTGATCTCTAAAAAATGTCTGAAGGTCTCAGCACCCAACCATTTAATTTCATGACTTTACTTCTGTGTTTAGTTCACTAGACATGTAATTTTTCAGTTTTGAAGTTTTCCCTCTATGCAAACGAAGTAGATACTCAGTATAGGAGTATCATATTTACCATGGACATTAACTTTTTAAAAAAATGTAAATCAAGGCATGAAATTTTAATCTACAGAAGAGGTAGGTGAAGATGGCAAATTTCTATAAAAATGGCTGTTTAAACTTTGATGATTAAATCAAATTGGCCTTTATTTAAAATGTGGGAGAGCAACAAGCAAAAAATTCTAACAAGAAGTCTGGCTGGTTAGCTGAATTCGTTACAGCATGGTGCAGATAACACCAAGGTCCAGGATTCCATTTCTGTACTGACCAGTTGCCCCCCCCCGCCCAAAAAAAAATTCTAACAAGAAGTCTCAATTATATGCACAGGAAAACAAACTTTATAAATTATTAAAGCCAGAAAAGAACCATAGAGATCAGTGATTAGGCTGTTTACCCACCGTGGTAATCATACCACTCACTGGTGGCACATGAGAGGATTTTAAATGATACATGGAGAGATGTAATTTACTATATATTATTTATTTTATTGTGTATCCTTCTCCATTTATGACAGGGACATAAGGTTTCTTTTTAAAAAGAGGAATCAATTTGGATACTATGGATCCTACATGGAATTAGCTGAAGTTGTGAAGGTGGCACATGAATGAAATAAGTTTGATGTCTTAATTTTACAGCTGAGAAAAATGAACCCCAATTCAATGAAAGCTAAGTGGAAATACATCAATAACATTTGGCTAAGAAAAAATTATATGTAAATGTTTATCTAACTTTAATTACTTAGGAAAAGCTATCCCACGGCAGATAATGTAATAAATAGGAAATCCCACTCTTGTTCCAAACTGTAGCCATCTAGCATTTTTCATCCCTCTTCCCATTAAACCATAAAATGGGAATTTTCTCCATGTATTAGGATGTATACATCTTTTGTTGTTTGCTCTTCCTTTCTTGCGGTTAACTAAAAGAAAAATCACAGCACTAATGTATATAAAACAGACACATATATGAACGCACATATATACACCACCATTCCCTACTCCCCCAAACAAAAAAACCCTCAGGACATTTTTATAAAACAAGTTTGTACTTTTTCAAGGTATTTGGATCTACATATCATAATTAATGAAGAGCTTTCCCATGATTTTGCCAAAACCTGATTCTCCTTAAGGGGCCATGTTAATAAAGCCCATTCATTATTGTGCTAGCATTATTTAAGTCAGAGTAGTTCTGGGAATCAAAATATGTACATTAAAGTCTGCTCTGAAACAATCTTTGTAATGCAAAATTTTCAAAGCATCTGTTTTCTTTCCATAAGCTTTTAAAGAATAAAATGAAGGGAGAACATTTTAAGAACAAAATAACGGGCTGGCCAGTTAGCTCAGTTGATTAGAGCACAGTCTTATAACACCAAAAAAGAAAAGAAAAAACAAAATAAACATACGAATGAAAAAGTATTCTTTATCAGTTCAAAATTGTCAAGACTTACGGGCGGGGGGGAAGAAGATATAACAACTATACTTTTTTGAAGTTGTTACAACAAGCAAACGGAAAGGACATTCTTGGGGGGGGAGGGGAGAGAGGGAGGAGGGAGGGAGGTGTCGGTGATAGGCCATAATAATAATATACATTGTATATTGACAAAATAAAAATTTAACAAAAAAAAAAATTGTCAAGACTGAATATAAAAGAACTTTCAGTCTGTATCCATTAGTGCTAAACAGTCATTCTTTTATTCCAACATTTTTCCTTAACCACTAAATTGAAATTTCACTAAAGTTCATAAACCATCAAGATCACACAAACATAAATAAATGAAAAGGGCTGGGGAGGGGGAGGAGAGAGGGAGACTATCCAACCTAATTGGCATAAATAGCAGTACTTAGTAATAACTGAAAAGCAAATATGTCTAATAGAATGATTTTTCTGGTTTAAAAAGAACAGAGTACTGCTTTCACATGAATACTTTTGACAAGAATACATTCACTTAACACATATGTACCAGAGCACCTATTAGCACAAAGCATTGTGCTTGGTGTGATGATTATGTAAAGATAACTGACACAGATCATGTTTCTACCATATTCTAGATAAACGCAAACACAAACAACTGTGATTTAAGGTGGCACATTAAAAGGAGAACAGTATAGAGTGAGCTGGAAGTTTTGAGGAAGGAGAGACATTTCTAGTTGGGGAAGATTTCATGGAAGTGGCATTTGCACTGTGTAGAGTTTTGATAGACAAAAATGAAAGAGCAAGCATTTTAGGCCAAGGCAGACAAGAATTAAATATGACTCTGCTGTCTTAGAGTGAGTGACATGGCAGAGGAGCGTGGCTGTCAAAGAGGAGGATAAAGATGTCAAACTCAATTTTGTTCATGCTTTTGTGAAGTCACATTTAAGTAAGAACGTCCAGGAGGCACCTGGAAGTTTTAGAGTTGGAGCTCTAGAAAGATTCTGGGCTGGTGAGTCATTACAGAATGGTTACACAAAGAAAGGCTGGCAAAATAAAACAAAACGAAAAAAACCCAGTTACTCAATGCAATAGTAAAAGACTAGAAACAACCCAAGCATCTATTAGCAGAGGACTGGTTGATAAAACTATGAACATTAATAAAGTTAAGTATTTACAGCTTTAAAAAGGAATGGAGAATATCTCCATATAATAGTCTGGAATGATCTCTAAGTGAAAAAAGTGTGTATATGTATCCACTCATCTGGTTGGCAAAACTTTCAAGAGTATAAAAATGTTGGGGTGAGGGCCGGCCCGGTGGCGCACTTGGTAGAGTGCAGCGCTTGGGAGCATGGCGGCGCTCCCGCCGAGGGTTCGGATCCCATATAGAGACCGGTCCGCTCACTGGTTGAGCATGGTGCGGGCGCGACACCGAGGGTTGCGATCCCGTTGCCGGTCGTAGTACGGGCGCGACATTGAGGGTTGCGATCCCGTTACCGGTCACAGAAAAAGACAAAAAGAAAAAAAAAAAATGTTGGGGTGGATGTGGCAAACAGGAACCCAAGCATACTGCTGGTGGGAATATAGACTGCCAAACCATTCTGAAGAAGAAATGGGCTGCAACTAGTGAAATTAATCGTTGTATCTCCAATGATCCAACAATCCTACTCCTGACAACCCAGAGAAATTCCTAAGAATTTCTCTGTGTAACGAGGTTGCAGTATGTTTGTGGTGGCGAGGAACCAAGGCTATTCAGTGTCTATGAAAGGGGAATGGATTAGAAAAGACATGGTAGATGCAGGGTATGAATCAAAACTTGGAGGTTTGGGGACGACCTGTGGCTCACTCGGGAGAGTGCGGTGCTGATAACACCAAGGCCCCAGGTTTGGATCCCATATAGGGATGGCCAGTTGGCTCACTGGGTGAGCATGGTGCTGATAACACCAAGCCAAGGGTTGAGATCCCCTTACTGGTCATATTTAAAAAAAAAAAGACATTCCAGACCCTTTGCAGCATGCCTGCCTTCTCCTATATAAGATGTAACCTAAGAATCAATAAACGAGACTT